CTCTCTCTCTCTCTCTCTCTCTCTCTCTCTCTCTCTCCTGCTACACATCAGATCCAAGAACATATATTTCTCACAGTAATATTTATTTCAAAGTCTCTCATTATTGAGCCAAAGGCAGCAGGACTTGGTTTATGCTTTGTTGACAGTCTGGTAGCCAATCAGTGTCACCGTGCAGAGCCAGATGTTTTGGCAGCTGGTTTATATGTTAAATACCTTCCATGCGTCGGTCTTTATGAGCTGTTTGCACTGAAACGCGTGCAGCACCCTGGGACATTTGGTCATGCGTCCATCAGCCTTGCTTTCACTTGCAGTCTGAATCTGTGTTGACGTACTGCTGACAGGTTAGATGCATTTTCACTGGATTTCACAAACTTTAAAATAGTAATTTTGTGAAAAATAACTGTGAAATATGTTTTCTGACTGAATATTTTTAAATGCCGTGAGGACCAGTCTTTAGTGTTTCCAGTCTTCAGAAATCAATCTGATATGCTGCTTTACTGCTCATGAAACATTTTGAATTATTATCAATGTTAAAAATGAGTTTTGCTGCTTGAATTTTTCTTTTTCTTTTTTTGTGAAATCCCTGACACTTGTTGTCAGGGTTCTTTGATGAATAGCAAGTTCAAAAGAACAACATTTGTTTTAAGTCTTTATACTGTCACTTTTGATCAATCAAATGCATCTATGCTGAAAAAAATATTATTTTCTTTCAAAAATAAAAATCTTACTGACCCCAAACTTTTAAATACACGGTATAGTGTTTTTGACAGTATTAGATACATAATATCAATGCACTGCTATATAATGCTATAATAAATACTGGTCACACTTTAGTTTAGTTTAATGTCCAATTCTCACTATTAACTTTGACTTTTGCCTCAATAAACTCTGCTTTATTAATAGATAGTAAGTAGTTGTTAAGTTTAGGTGTATGGTAGAGTTAATATATAGAATATGGTCATGCAGAATAAGACATTAATACTGTATGTACTTTATAAGTACTAATAAATAGCCAATATGATATGCATGCTAATAAGCAACTAGTTAAAGTGAGAACTGGTCCCTAAACTAAAGTGTTACCTAAATACTGCTTTATACATATATCCAAAGGAAGCCTTAGGTAAAAATATTGTATAACCAATGAAAAACATGTACTATATTCACATTCCTCAGGCTTTAAAGGAAAACAGAAAAGCAGCAAGGCACGCATCTCATTTTTAGTGTGTGCAGTGTTCAGTCCTCCCCCTTCAACTCCTATAACCCTGCGACCAATGAGGGACTCTCAGCCTGTGATGTTAGGATCCATGCCAGCAAGTTCGGTGCCGACAGGGAAAACACGTTGAGAGCAGATCAGAGTCTGGACGCGCTCTAGCCGCTGTGTCCCACTGAACTCCTAGGAGTGAATGACAGACACGCAGCAGACGGACACTAATCTCTCCAGAGTCCAACACGGCTGTCTGGGTGAGTTTGCTCTGACTCTTCATGTCCTCAGCTTAATATGGGATGACGTTTACCTGTAAGAAATGTTAATCTCACACTCAGATATTGGTACATCTAATGCACTTCTTGAATGGAGACTCAGTACTTTCTCTGAGAAAGTTTGACATTAACACTTAGAAAGCTTGGCTTTTTTATAGATTTTTTTTTTGTCAATAAGAGTTTTACATAAGTTGTTCATTATGATACAAGGTGAAATGTACATCATTATACTGTTTTGTTACTTAGTGAGTTTTAGAATAACTGTACAGTTTAAGTGTGTCCCCAAAAGTCACTTAAGTCACACTTAAAAATGTCAGTTGTTATTGCAAACACTTGCTATGTTAGTGGATCATGTCTATACTTAATGTGATTCTCTACACCTGTGTATAGACGTAAAAAAAGACTAGCAGTTTCTGGGAAAAAAAAAGTTTCAAAGTACCATAAATCCCATTTTTTTCCCCTCGGTGTAGTCTGTGTGAATTGAAATCAACAAAACACCAGCTGCTTAAAAGTCATTGAAGCAAAAAATTATTATGAAAATTAGTTGAGACAATCCTGCATCATAGATGCTTGCTTTGCTATTTAGAATCTAGTACAATTTGAAGTGTGAAAAAGTGCCCACATACATTCTGAGAACACTGCAAATCGTTTATTCTGATGAACGCATGAAATATGTGGATGTCACATACACTATACTGTAAGAGGTATATCATGTGGTCACTTTTCCAATTATTCCACATTATCGTAATTACTCCTAATCAACATAAATGTGACGTTTATTCCGGTCGGATGTCTTTGATCCAATGCTGCGGTTAATTCCCAGAACGGGAAAGGTGTCCCAGTGAATGCATGATGTGCAACAATGCCCATGAGGATGAATGAAGCCTCGGTTTCGTGAGGTTAATGAATAGACTTTTGCACTTTATTAAGTTTATCATGTATTAAGGGTGAGGTGTATTAGAGGGCGTTGCTTTCTATAAAGCCCCCTTCCTGCTGTCTTTTTTCCTGAACTATGACTGGTATGATCAGTTTTTTAATAGCTTCCCCTCCCTCTCTCTGTCTCCACCCTCCAGATGTGTTAGATTCAGTGCTTTAAATGGTCATCTGCAGGCTAGGTGCTGCTCTTTATTGTGTTTCAGAGCTGGTGTGATCAGAGGACAGCAACAGGCTCTTTCATGTCGTATCTGTATTTGTTCAGAATCTTGTGAGCGAGTCAATGAACACTGTTGGTTCCTCTTGTTATGTGTAGACAAATCTATACAAAGTGTTTGTGCAGCTGGCTGAAATTACATTTAACTAGATGCCTCACTACCAGTTTGTGTTTTCTGACAGGGCAGAGCATTTTTGGGGCTTGATTACATTGTTTTACCTGAGGCAGAACCACACATCGTACAGAGCATGTTTAACCCTCATACCCTCATCTTCAACGGTTTGTTGAAGAACAGTCATACTACTACTAACTTTTTTTTTTTTTACATAACACAGCATAAACAACAATCATCTGGTCTTCACCAGCTTCTATAATTATACAACTCTATGTCTCGGATAACACATAACAGATTTTGTTGTTATTATTTATCCAAAAGCAAAGGAAGCCAAAATGCTGAAACCATGACTGAACAACATGAATCCGGATGCATCAACAAGGAAGGTTGTTGTTGTCATCAGTCTGAATAGAATTATAAGGCCATTTCTGAACAATTTGAAACCAATCATTCTTTATTTTCTGCATTATTCGGGATGATTTACAAACAGAACACTGATGAAAATGGAAAATTCCTGTCAGGAGCAGAAGTCTTTGAAAATTCACACCTTGGTGTGTGTGTGTGTGTGTGTGTGTGTGTACCTGGTGTTTATCACGTTATGGGGACCAAATGTCCCCACAAGGATAGTAATACTAGTAAATTGTGACCTCTGACATTTTTGAGGTCCCCATGAGGAAACAAGCTTATAAATCATACAGAATGAGTTTTTTTGAGAAAGTAAAAATGCACAAAGTTTCCTGTAAGGGGTAGGTTTAGGGGTAGGGTTGGTGTAGGGCAATAG